ATTGACCATTCCCTAAATCGTGAAAGCAACGCTTGAACCTTGTTCGAATATTGTTGCATGAGTTCTTTCTTTGTGTCGAATATCCTGTACACTTTGTTTACTATCAGCTGGGAGTCGCATTTCACTTTGATAAAATCGGAGCCTAGTTTTTGGGCTAATTCTAGCTCTGCAACGAAAGCCTCATACTCGGCATCATTGTTAGTTAATAAAAAAGTTTTAATGGCATGAATCACGGTTTCCCCCAAGGGTGTAATTAGAACTATCTCGAGATCGGACCTATTTACATTGAAAGGGCCATCCGTAAACAAGGTCCAAACTCCTGATGCCGTTTCCGACATTAGCACTACTTCATTAGCACCCAAGGGCATCAGCCTGGGACTAAAATTGGCACCAAAGTGGGCTAAAACTTGTGACTTTATTGCAATCTTGGGTTTGTACTCAATGTTGAATTCGCCAATTTGGACTGTCCATTTACCCAAATGGCATGATAACTCAGGACTGAGAAGGACATTCCTTAAGGGAAAGGTTGTCACAACGGCTATCGGGTGGCACTGAAAATAAAGCCTAAGCTTTCAAGAGGCAACAACGATGGCTAAGGCCAGCTTTTCAAGGTGCAGATAACGAGTCTCCGCTCTCGATAATATTTTACTTACGTAGTAAACTTGCAATTGCGTACCTTATTCTTCTCGGACCAAAACATCACTTATCGCTACTTCCGAGATTGCTAGATATATTAACAATTTCTTGCCTTCATTCGGTTTTGATTGTAACGGGGGCTGGATAGGTACCTTTAAAGATCTTCCAATGCATGTTGGCATTCTGTAGTCCATTCGAAATCATTCTTCTTTTTCAGAAGAGAAAAGAAGTGATGGCACTTCTCTAAGGATCTTGAGATTAATCTACTTAGAGCCGCCAACCTTCCGATCAGCCTCTCTATTTCCATCACACTTGTCAATTGGTCCGAAATATCCTCGATAGCTTTGATTTTTCGGGATTTACCTTGATCCCTCTCTACAAGACTAAGAACCCCAAAAACTTATGGGAACCAACATCGAATGTGCATTTCTTCAGATTGAGCTTCATGTTATGCTTCATCAGAATGTCGAAAGTCTCTTGGAGGTGTTTCAAATGATCTCGTGCCTTTAAAGACTTAACTAACATGTCAGCGATATATACTTCTATTATTTTGCCTATCTGACCCTTAAACATTCTATTAACGTGCCTATGATAAGTGGCTCCAGTATTCTTAAGCCCAAAAGGCATCACATTGTTGTAATATGTCCCACGTTTGTTATGAAAGAAGTTTTTTTCCTGATCCTCCGCACTCATCTTGATTTTATTGTGCCCGGAGTAAGCATCAAGGAAACTCATTAGCTCCTGTCATGCCGTCGTATCAATCATTTGATCAATGTTTGGCAGTACGAACAAGTCTTTAGGACATGCTTTATTTAAATCTTGTAGTCTACGCACATCTTAAATTTGTTATTCTTTTTGGGTACTACAACTACGTTGTCTAACCATTCTGGATACTTTAACTCCCTGATAGAACCAATATTGAGTAGTCGGGTTACCTCTTCTTTAAAAAACCTGTTCCTGACCTCTGGTATCGGGCATTTCTTTTGCCTTACCGGTGGATAGTATGGATCCAGACTTACCTCGTGGACTGCTACCTCTAATGGGATACATGTCATATCCGAGTGCGACCATGCAAAGTATTCAAGGTTAGCTTTATGAAAATTTATAAATTCTAAACTTAGCTCGAGATTTAATCCTATTCCCATATGGAACTTCCTTTCCAAAAACTCTTCGAACAAGGCCACTTGATCAAGTTCTTCTACGGTTGACTTGGTCGCATCCGTCTCTTATGGTACCTGAAAGTATCTCGGAACCTGAGAGGATTCAAATGACTCCTCGCTTTTATCGTCTTAATTTAGAAAGGGAGAAGGCATGGTTCCTATAATTACTAGTTGTTGGACTCCTTCCCCTTGCTTCTAGTAATAGTCACCGCGTTCATTTCCCTAGCTGTCGGGTGGTCTCCTCTTATTTTCTTGATTCCTCTGATGTCAAACATTTCAATAACTGGTGATATGTTTTGGGTACAACTCTCATCTCGTGTGTCCACGACTTTTCGATGATTACACTGTAACCCATATCGCCATCCACCACTTCGAGAAGAGTAGTCTTTGTTACTTCTTCAGCGTGTGAGGGCAGCAAAATCACTCCTCGGGTTGTCACTCTTGTCATGTTGAAGCCAAATAAGAGTTTTATCGCTGGAACGATGTTCCCGGCTAACTTTTCTTGCTCCAGAACTCTCCATTATATTATGTTGGCTGAACTTCCTGGGTCAACCAAAACACGTTTAATTATGAAATCTAAAACATTGAGAGAGATTACCAAAGCGTCGTTGTAGGACAGAAGAAGTTCGTCTGCATCCTCTTCCGTAAAGATGATGTCATCTTCTGTGACTTTCCGGGATCTTTTCTTGTGAGTCCTCGATATCATTATTTTCTTCACTGCTAAAAAGGTTACACCATTGACTTTGTTTCCTCTGAAGATCATGTTGATATCCATTCAAAGGTGACCCTTCTGCTACATTAGAAGGCTTTGTATTGTCTCAGCTTCGGCCGTAGTTGGTCTTGGCTCGATCACGCAAAAACTCCCTGAAATGGACATTCTTCAACAATGTTGCCACCTCTTTGCGAAGATATTGGCAGTCCCCAGTTCTATAGCCGTGAGTTCCATGGTATTCACGCCATAAACCGGGATCCCTCTGGCTAGGATCTGAGCAGATTTGCTTCGAGGATCACACTTTTATTATATTTTTCATTGTTGATACCAATTATACCGGGCTGATGTTGAAATTATAATATGATAACCTGGGACTTGCGGAATCTTGGGCCCGTGGAACCTCTTTCTCTTGCAAAAAGATGTTGTTCTTGCCAAAATAAGCTCCTCTGTCGGGAGCGACCCTATCCAATGTCTGAAACCCTTTGCTTCTATGCCCATCAGTCCTATCGTATGGAAGAAAACAGCCTCTAGAGGATTGTTGATCCGCATCGAAATTGCTTTTAAACTTATCCTGGCTTTTGTCTCGACCCCGTCCCTTAGCCAATATCGAAGACCTAAGCTGATCATCTTTTATCCTTATTTTTGACTCATAACTGTTATGGACATATGCCCATGTTGTTGCCTAAAACTCGAGTAAATTCTCCTTCAATTTTGGGGAGCCATCAGAACTCGGTGGATTTAGACCCTTCGTGAATGCCTCTACTGCCCACTCATCTGGAACCGCAGGTAGCAGCATCCTTCTTTCTGGAATCGGGTCATCAATTCTCGCAGCAGCTCGGATTTGCCCTGCGCAATTCTAAATATGTCTGCCTTGTTAGCATGAACCTTCCATGCTCTAACATTGGTCTTAATGAACGAGTCTGCAAGAAGTTCAAAAGAATCAATTGAATGTTCGGGTAAAAGAGAGTACTATGTCAGGGCCCCCTTTGTGAGGATTTCACCAAACATCTTCAACAAGACCGACTCGATCTCATGTTGGGCCAAATCATTTCCTTTCACAGCCATGGTGTGGGTTGTGATGTGCTCCTATATATCCGAAATCCCATCGTACTTTGGTATATCTAGTATTTTGAATCTTTTTGGAATTAACTTTGGTGCTGCACTTGGCTTAAACAGCAACTGTGTGTACTTTCTTCAATTCGGACCCTTTAACACTGGTGGTGCGCCCGGAATCTTATCCATCCAAGCGTGGAACTACTTTGCATTCTGACCCGTTCGTTTGTCCATCTCTCGTGAACCTCATGAGATCGGTTTTGGAAGGGTTACTTTCTTTGTTGTTCCTAGATCCGCTATCGGTGCCTCCAGTTTTGTCGAAATCGACTTTTACCCTTAGGGTGTTATTATCGATTCTCTGAGCCGTTTGATTTATAGGAACACTGGAAGAAATTGGACCCCTTACGTTCGTGTTGTTAGAAATATATGTCAATTCTTGTTTTAACTCCTTCATCACCTGATCATGCCTTGATTAACCATCCATGATTGTTTTATGTTGTTCCCTTAGGAGTTTTCCCGTCTCCACGACATGTTCCTCTTCCGCATCATCAGGAGTCGAGTCCCGCACATGCCGAGGATACTAAGCTTCGCGAACCGGGGTTGTTGCTTCACCTTCACTGCGGATGTCGCTGATTGGGTCATCACGTTGGGACAATTCTTCTCGTTAAATGTGTGCTTTAGCATTGTATGCGTTGTTGATATTGTTAGCTGCCATATCTTGTTTTTACTAAAGAATCAAACGAAACTCGTTAGTAATAACTGATTGGATCAAAGCAATTACGCAACTGTCTATGTCGCACGGTGGGTGCCAAATTATTTACCCGTAAAGTAGTACAGTTAAATTTGTAATGTATTTTATAGACAAGCGAGTTGATTTGTCCTTAAAAACGATAAAGAAATAAGACTGAAGTTCATATGTAGCGATTGAAATTAAAGAAGATAACAATCCTAGTTCCAAAGTCAGCCTTTCTGAGAGCAAAAATAAAAGTAAAGATAAAGCAACGATGAAACTGTTAAAGTGAGAGCTAAACAGTAAAGTATGAGAGCAAAATAGTAAGGTATGACTTTGAGTATAGAGTGTTTCGTGTCCTTACAATAGTGTTAACTCCACTATTTATAGTTCTACCTAGGGAAACAAGATCCTAGGATCAAGCTCCTCTATAAATGAGAATAAAAGTGTCATTTATGAATATGTAACGACAAGCCTTGAATAAAAATATTCTCTATAACCGCTGCTCATTTAACGCTAGCAAATATTCCCTTACTAGATGTTGCCCGATGGTCAATCTTTGAACTTCTACCACCGGCTATATTACCTTTGGAAGCCATCTGGTACCAGTCACACATGTCGCATTTAGTACTAATTGTTTCTCAACTCGTCCTTTGTCTATCTTCGACTCCACGTATCACCTTACCATTTAGTACTAATTGAAAAGTCAATGTCAAAAGCAATAACTTATTACTATCCATGGGTGGGAAGTTTAAGAGACAATGCTACCATTGACTGTGATGATACTGGGGTTGAATTCTTGGAAGTTGAAGTGAATTTTCCGATGGATAAAGTTCTTTATTACCAAGAATCAAGCATAAAAAATATAACATTTCCTCAAGGTGTACCCTCAAGAAATGCTGCAGATGGTGCCTGCTTAATTGTATCTCAACTCAGCCATTTTTAGTGCGAAGGAATAGCAATCAGTGTGTGTCTGTCACACAAAGTGGGCGATGCGCGCAACACCCTCTTCTTTGTGAGGGATTCGCCCGCATTAACTGGAGATCTTAATGCAAAATTAGTATATTCTCCATTCATCAACCAGGGTTCCTTAGTACTGTCACCATCTGATAGTCCTCTGTCCTTCCCAGCAATCTTATCAAAACTAGAAGAATGTATAGAACTCGAAAAGAGGTTCTATTTTTCTGCCTCAAAGATAAGAGCTCTCAAAGATTTGGTTGTTGCTGAATTAAGTGTCGAAAATCCAACAACGACTGAGGTAGTTAGTGCACTTGTTTACGAATGTGCTGTTATTATCAACTTGGGTTCATCTCATGAGCAATCTCGGTTGGTCCTACTATCAGATATACAAAAAGAAATTTCACATTCAGTACCACCAACTTCCATCAACAATATTCTCACAATCTTTACCGCACCAATATACAACAACAAAGGAGACCTTAGGGTATCAAATTTAGTAGCCGATATATGAAAATCCAAACACGAGCTTTCCAATAGAGATAATTTAAGGAAAATGAGTGGTCTTCAGGGATGTTACATGCATATTAAACAGGAGATGGTACCTATCGCCAAAGTAACTGTGATGTATTACGTTGTAGTAGTTCGTACACATACCATTTCTTAAAGTACAAGAGGGGGGTGAATTGTAGCCAATTTTAAAACTTAGTTGACTAAGAAAGGAATTAGTCGACTAAACTTTAAAGTGGGATCAATTGCAACCGAATTAAATAAGTAGAATGAAAAGTAAAGGAGGCACAACAATTTTATACTGGTTCAGTACATGTAGTGCCTACGTCCAGTTCCCTAGGGTCATAAGGATTCTCTTAGATCTTCAATAAGTCTTTTACGACAGTGATGGTTTTAGTACTTTCACAACCAACAACATACAACAACAATGTTTTTCTAGTGTTGACATAAATCTTGTTTTATTTTCTAAGTCTTACTATCGTTTGCGACACTTGTAGACTTAGGAATACAGTATTTGTACTAAGAACTAGAAAGGTGTAGAAACAGATGTGAAGTTGCATGATCATCCTTGCCCATCTACTTCTTCTTTTAAGTGCTCGATGAGTCTTCTGATTTCTCTTTTCTGGGATCGCAAAGGGCAGCCCAGATTCATTCTCAATTTGAAGATTTATCTCCTTCAATTAACCTTGTTTGGAGCTTCCACGGATTACCCTTGATTATCTCTATATCCTTGATTGGCTCGGTTTCGTTTCTTGCGCGCTTGAGAATCTTTAGCAAGTCTGATGCATTGTCTTTCCTTCCTTGTTCTTTGATTGATTGATTCTTCTTCCATTTGATATAGAGTTTGAAAAACATAGCCGTTGGGTTCATCTGATTTTCTTTCCTTTCATTCATCAGAGCTATTGCCAATCTACACACAAAGTGAGATGACATTATTCAACGCTCTTTTGATTATTGATCATTATTAAAAGTCTAAACCTTTCAATCTTCCACTTTTTTATTATGACAATAATCCAAAAAGAGTTCGTCTAATTTAGGGAATACTTCCCTTTACGAATGTACTTCTACTCCCCCTGCCTTTGTGCTCCTTGTTTGTTTGCATGCTTCCCATGTCTTTATACTCTTTTTTTTCTCCGCCTTTGACATCAATCAAAAAGACCAAGAAGAGATACAGAGAATAATAGCTAATAATAATACTTGTTAAGCGGGTAAAAAATATATACATCTAACAGTTATACCAGGCATAGTCGACTGTATGCCCATCCAAACACAGCCAAAAGAGAAGTTTTAACAAGCAACACAAAAAAAGAATAAGATTGTTTAAAAATTCAAGACACTTAATTCCTTCTAAGGAAATATTTCAAAGTGTTGATCAGTTTGGTGCAGAAAATATCATAGGAGGCATCAATCTCCTTGGTGACTTTGGTCAGCTTCTCAGTGACATCCTGCATAGCTCTTCCCTTGCCTCGTTGTGGCTTGGATGGCGATCCTTAAGCTAGCCACATCTGCTCAAGTTTCCTTTGTCACTTCTCTGATCTTGTCCACCTGTTCCTGCATAGAGGTTAGCAGTTCCTTGATACCTGCAATATTTTTATGCATTAGTAGCAACTGATCCGATGAAGAGAATTTGCTTGCTTCATATTTAATCCCTCCAGTGCCCTATTGAGGAGTGGAATGTGGTGCTTTGTCTTTCCTGAACCAGGTTCCCTCAACCAAAGTGTACCCCATCATCGAAAAGGCATTCTTGTCATATGCACTGGAGATGGTTTTAAGGGCACAGGGAGACAAATATACTTTCATAACTTGCAATATGTGAGAGATTAGTAAACAATAAGGTAAACTGTTAGCAGATGATGAGACATCCTTGATGCTTTCAAGCATGTACTGACGCACCCAAGAAAACCAATTAATAGCCTTCCCATTCACAAGATAGTATAAGACAAACACATCTCTGAGAAATATGGTGCTAAGAGAACCAGTACGGGCTAACAGGGTGGTAGCAATAATGCGAGCTAGTACACGGTGCTCAAATTTAAGATTTTTGGGACCAATGTCAGAGGGTTTTCAGACAACAAATTTTTTGCTTCCTCAAACGACACTTCAAAACGATAAGGCCAAGAATGTTGCACAAAGAAACTATACCCAAATTGCAAAGATTTTTTCAAACTGATAATAGTCAAGAATAATGCGAGATCCCAAAACCATGAATTTTAAGTCATCTTTATCATTCACAAACAAATTTACAAAAACATATGCACATGCTCTTCATAAAAAGTGTCACCGACAGTAGAAAATAGGGAGACAACTTTTTGAGTTTCAGACACAGAGATAACATCACGGTGAGAGTTTTTCATAGATTTCAAACTTACAGTGCCACCATAAGCAATCGACTTCCCTTTGTAAACGACAAATTTTGCTTTCTCTTCGGGACCATAGAAGTTCATCTTGCCTTCAAGCCCAAGATCTATGCTTTCTGTTTTCCCTCTCATTTGAGATGATTGTTCTATTTTGAGCTATGAGAATTTCTTCCTGAGAATCACTAAATTCATCCTCGAATGGTTGATGATCTGCACTCTCTGACGACTGTAGTTCCACAAGATCATCAGTTTGATTATTTTTCTTGAAGCGATGGCATCTTCTAGGCAAGGAGGAGGATGAAAAGGGTTTGGTTTTGGCCTTGAGTAAGAGAGAGAAGAGAGAGAGAAAGAGAGAGAGAGAGAGAGAGAGAGAGAGAGAGAGAGAGGCTTTCTTTGAGATAGTGGGAGATATGAATGAGAGAGGAAAGGTTAAAAAAGGGGGTGAACGGAATCCTCGCATCTGGAGAGACGTGTGAAAGGCAACTGAAAAAATGCCTTCTGCACGCCCGCCGTTAGTCAGATAATAAATGCATGTACAGAGTAATAAAATACTTAGTGATATTTAGGGCAAAAATCACAAAGAGCAATTATGGAAATTTTTCTAAAATAGACAAATTTAGAGAAATTAAATGGGAATCAAGCAAATACAAATTTTATCACAATGGAAACAGAATCTCTCTTCAAGCAATGCTTTTGTGAAAATATCAGCTAACTGATTTTCAATATTGATAAATTCTAACACCATTTCACCCTTTTCAACATGATCATGGATAAAATGATGCTTAATCTCAATATGCTTAGCCCTAGAATGATGCACAGTATTTTTTGAAAGGTGAATGGCACTAGTATTATCACACATAATAGGAATGCAATTAAGACGTAAATCTTAGTCTAAGAGTTGATGCATAATCCATAGAACTTGTGTGCAACAGTTGCCTATAGCTAGATATTCTTCTTCAGTAGTAGATTAGGCAACACAACTTTGTTTCTTGTTGTGCCAAGATATAAGAGATTTTCAAAATAATTGGCACGTTCCACTTGTGCTTTTCTTGTCAATTTTATCACCTGCAAAGTATGTTCCTGAAAAAAAACGTTTGAGATCAAAGACATTTAAGCTTTCGTACCATAATCCATAGTCGACTGTCCCTATCAGATATATGATAATACGTTTAACAGCAGTCAAGTGGGATTCTTTGGGAGCTGACTGATATCTTGCATATTTGCAAACACTAAACATAGTATCAACTCGACTAGCGGTAAGATAGAGTAGAGATCCCGTCATACCTCGATACATTGTTTTATCAACACTCTTACCATCTTTATCTTCATCTAGGGTGGTTTATGGACTCATAGGAGTCTCTATGGCCTTAGTATTAGACATGCCAAACTTCTTGATAAGCTGTTTTGTATATTTTGTTTGACTAATGTAAGTCCCTTTATGTACCTCCTTGATTTGTAGCCCAAGGAAGAAGGTAAATTCTCCCATTATTCTCATTTCAAATTCTCCTTTCATGATCTTTGAAAAGTCCTTGCATAACACTGGGTTAGTACTTCCAAAAATAATATCATCTACATAGATTTGCACAATTAAATTACCTTCAGCTAATCGTTTGATAAAGAGAGTAGTATCCGTATTATCTCTATCAAACCTATGTTTGACTAGGAATGAACTTAACCTTTCATACCAAGCTCTAGGAACTTGCTTTAGTCCGTACAGGGCTTTGGAGAACTTGTAGACATGATTTGGAAAGGATTTTTTTACAAATCCTGGAGGTTGCTTCGTGAGGATTTCCAATGATGTACTTATGTGGATAATCTATTTTCCATTCATTTGGAACAACTGATACTGGCTCTTTCTCAATGGGACTTGATTGCTCTTAAGTCGACTGATCCTGCTGATCAATCACCTCATCACGAGTGTTCTCACCTGTATTGATAGAATTTTGAACTATGGAGATTTCTTCATCTTCAGAAAGTTTTTCATTCCTTGAACGAGGGTTAGTGTCCACAAATACAATAGGTATAGATTCTTCAATAGATAGAGTGCGTTTATTATAAACTCTATATTTTCTTCTTGAGGGAGAGTATCCAAGAAAAATACCTTCATCGCTTTTTGGATCAAACTTACCAAGGTTTTCTTTTCCATTGTTGTGGATAAATTGCAACCAAACAGATAGAAATAACTGATGTTGGGTCTTTAACATTTCCATAGTTCATATGGAGTCTTTTTGAGAATATGTTGAATTAATCATTTGTTGATGATGTGTCATATTTTGCTTACAGCTTCTGCCCAGAAGTGTTGTGGGAGGGAGTTTTCCCTTAATCATTGCAGAAGCGTTCAAACGCTTTGCTTTCAAATTCTCTTCGATGGTCACTTCTTATGGCAGATATGTAGTATCCTTTTTCCTGTTGTACCTTCTTGCAGAAGACTTCAATATTCCTCAATGCTTCATCTTTAGGACTCAGAAAAATAATTCAAGTAAATCGAGAAAAATCATCTACTACAACAAAAGTATATTCTCTACCATCTATACTAGTAGTTCTAGTAGGACCAAAAAGGTCCATATGTAGAAGTTGAAGAGGTTTTGTAGTAGAAACTATTTTTTAACTTTAAAAAAGGACATGGCTTGTTTTCCTACCTAACATG